TTTCTGCATGTCTTGTTTCCTTGGCGGCTGGCTTGGATCTTTCTCCTTTGACAGCTCCATGGTGTCTGCCTGACTCCGCCTTCTTTCTCCCTGCGTTCAGTTTAGTTTCCGTCCTAGCCCTATTCTACCCTGCCATAGGCCACAGCAGCTTCTTTACTAACCAATCATACAGAGGGGAATCCCACATCAGCTCCTGTTGCTGCACCCTCCCTGTTATCACTGTCCTGATTCCCAGGGACTTCACTCTGCCCTGGCCAGCTGCAGGTCAGGTGTCTGGGAAGCCTTGCTGACAATGGCCTTGACAGGCAGCCACAGACTCTGGGTCCCTACTCCCATCGTATGTGTACACGGGAAGAAGACACTTGCCTTGTGTCAAGTGATAGCTATAACTCCAGGCCAGATCCAGTTTCTTTGGAAGCAATAGTGTCTATGCTTAGCATAATCTTGAGGTTCCCAGGCCCCAGAAAGTGATAGTCTCAAGAGCCAGCCAACCTTCTGGACCGCTGAGTGGCCCAGGCAGGCCCAGGCCATGGCTGTGGGATCGCAAAGGTATTAGATTTGTAAGAGAATTGTGGGTAATGCAGTGTGGGTCCTGGCTCCAGGGTGTGCCTGACCCCATGGCCTTACTGAGGCCCCACTAACCCAATTACGGCAAGCCCTCGTCTCCCCACCCTTGGGAATCTAGTAGCGTGAATATGTGCTCCATCCTTCCGTGAAAGGATCCAGTTAATAAACAACTGTTAAAGCCTTAAAAGCCAAATGGGGCATTCACCAAGGCTTTCTAGCCAGGGCATCCAGGAGGCCTCCGTGCTATTTACCATCTGCAGCCCACAACTACCGAGGACCCCCACCCTGGGCAGGAGGCCTCAGGCTCCTGCCTCTGCTCTGGTCCGTGTGTTCTCCTAGGTACTCAGGTCCTGGAAGTGAGGACGGTGCTGTGCCTATACTTGGTGCGTGAGAGTCACGCCCCACGAGAGCCATTGCCCTCCCATGTGAAGGATGAGGTGATTGTGTCCAGTCAAATATTAATTTGCTGGGTCAAGAGTCTTGGCTTGGGGGAAAGCCCAGTCTCTCTGTGTGAGGTCACAGAGAGGGACAGCTGATTCTGGGCAGCAGGGCAGTGCCCTTGGTATGTGCCCAACCCACGGTGCATCTCACAGGGGCCTGGCATCACAGCCCCAAGGCTCCTAGGAAGGAAATGTCATCTCTGCCTAGGCTGTTGTGCTCCCTCCCCTCCCATAGTTGTCCTGATGGTCACCCACAGCCACCTTTTTGCATTTTGCAGTGGGCTTCTCCATAGCTAGCGCTCTAAGGCTGTGATACTGAGACCGTCCATTGTGTGGTACATCCAAAAACCCAGAGCAGCCAGGGTGTAGTTGCTGAAGGCTAAAGGAAAATGTGTCCATATGATGGGAGGAGGAGAAGGGCACAGAGTGCTACTGTCCTCTCTGTTGTCATGGTAGGGGGTTTATGTGATAGTGGGTGGAGGGTCTGATCCCGGCAGCTATGTCTAAAGCAAGCCTCAAGCGCTGGGAGCCCATGTGGCTCCTTTAGGATGAGGCGCGGTGGGGGCCGCAGAGGCCCTTAGCAGCAGTCTGGTTCCTGAAAAGGCCGCTGTTGCGTTGGGAAAGCTTGTTAACTGTATCACTAAGGGAACTTGTAATTTAAGGACATTATGAATAACTTCCTTAGAAAACGAGACCGAAGAGATGTGAAAGAAACATTTCGTGAAATCCTCGAGAAACACCAGCCTCATTAAAGATCAAATACATGCAGATTAAGGATCTTGGGGTTTGGAAATGTGGGTGTTTTCTTGCTTTTTACAGCTTTGTTGACGTTATTCACAAGCCTGCAACCCACTCATTTAGAGATATAATTCATTGTTTCTGGCGCATTCCGAGGTAATACTATCAACTTTAGAACGTTTCCTTAAACCGTTTGGCTTTCAGCCCCTCCCCTCCTCTTCCCCTCCGTCAGTTTCTGGCTTTCTGCCGGAGTATTGCCAATCCTGGGTATTCTGTGTGAATGACTCACGGCGTCTGGCTCCTTTCACTCAGCAAGGTGTCTCTGGGGAAGTCTAGATCATCTGTCATCCATAGCATAGCACATGCCGGTGCTTCATTCCTTTATGTGGCTGGATAATATTCCATTGTTCAACGGACCACATTCACGCTGGTCAGAAGCAGATGAGTGATTGGCTGTTTGCACTGGGCCAGCTTCCCGGCTCTGCCATCTTTCCGTCCTTTTGACTGGAAGCCTCAGTGGGTGAAAACTTGCGTTTTCAGTGGCTGAGGGTTTAGCGTCTTTGACTGTACTGGTAGTTTATCTCTGTTGAAAATGGTGTTTATTTGGATTCCTTGATACTAATAATAGAATTGGCGAACTACTTTTGTGTTGTGAGTTCTTTGTATATCCCAGCTACAAATCCTTATCAAGCACACACATGCAAGGCTTTCTTCCATTCTTTTTTTTTTTAAAGAAACTTTTTTTTAATAAATTTATTTATTATGTATACAATATTCTGTCTACATGTATGCCTGCAGGCCAGAAGAGGGCACCAGACCTCAGTACAGATGGTTGTGAGCCACCATGTGGTTGCTGGGAATTGAACTCAGGACCTTTGGAAGAGCAGGCAATGCTCTTAACCTCTGAGCCATCTCTCCAGCCTGCTTTCTTCCATTCTTGATGACATTTCATGCCCCTGAGGCATGGTCTGCCTTTCTTTCCTTTGTTGCTCAAGCTGTTTGTGGTCATGTGTAGGAATTTGCCACATCCAAGGGCACGAAGGTTTATTCCCATCTCCTCTTCCAAGAGTTTTGTGTGTTTAGCTCTTACCTTTGAGTCTTCTTTGGTAAATGGTGTGAGGCTGGGGTTGGCATCGTCCCTGACACATGCCTGCCTTACTGTACTATCTGTTCAAAGGTGACTTCTTCCCCACTGGCCAGTCTTGGTGCTCACATCAAGAGGCAGCAAACCGTAGCCGTAGGTTTCTTTTGGTTCTGCTGTTCCGATTTGTACACCTCTGCTTGTCCAACTCTATGGTGCCTTTGCAGTTAAGTGTTGAAACTCAGACATCTCGGTCCCCCAGCTTTGCTCTAACACAGGGGCTGCGAACAGATGAAATCAACTTACGTGATCAGTGAAATGAACGTGTTCCTACAACGATACTATCTTGTTAAACTGAGTCAGCAAGAAATGGACACTTGATCGACATGTGTGAGTGTTAACTGTCAACTGGACAGAATCTAGAACACTTGAGAGAGAGGTCTCTGGGCGTGCCTGCCAGGGATTGCCTGACTACATTAATTAATAGGGGAAGACCCATCTTCGGCTGGGACCGTTCTCTGGCAGGGGATCCTGGACTGTATCTCTATCCCAGAGATGGTGAGCTGAGCGCTGGCAAGCATGCGCTATTCTGACTTGGCTATACTGTGCCTAGTTGCTTCTGACTCATTCATGGTGCCTTAGCTTTCTGCTGTGATGGATCTGAGAGCTGTGAGCTAAGTCAGTCTCTCCTCCCTGAAGTTACTCTTGTCAGGGTCTTTAATCCTGGCAACAGGAAAAGGAAGTGAGACAACAAACCAAAAGCAGGAAGGGAGACTGAATAACTCGAAAACGGTCTGTCAAGAAAAACCAGCCACCTACCAGCTCTTCAGGAACTCTCAAAAGACATAAGAATAGGGACTCCCCACACTCCCAGAGAGACAGGGATTCACCATGTAGCCCCAGCTGGCCCACCCCCGACTCATTTTTGAGATAAAACAAGATTATTCCTGGTAGCAAAGTTAGGCAAAGACATTGAAAGAAGGAAAGGGGGGGAGGGAAAGAGGGAGGAAGGAAGGAATAAAGAAAAAGAAAAAGAAAAAGAAAGAAAGAACTACAGTAACAAACATGAACATGGAGACAGAAAAATTTAACAAAATGATAGCAAATCAGGCTAGACATGGGTGGTGCACACCTTTAATTTTATCATTTGGGAGGCAGAGGCAGGTGAGTCTCTGAGTTTCAAGGCAGCCTGCTCTACAGAGCAAACTTCAGGCCAGTCAAGACTGCAATACATCAGAAAGATTATATACCAATGACCAAGTGGGATTTACCCTAGCAAAGCAAGGTTGTCTTAACATCTTGAAATTAATACAACACATTATATCAATAGAGTAACAATATCTTGTGGATTTCTTAAAAGATCCAGAAAATGCATTTGGCAAAATCCACCCCCCCCGAAAGAATTTTATCAGCTTATTAAATGACATTTATGGAAAACGGAGCGCTAACCCAGCTAAAGCTGGACACTCCCTCTGAGGTCAGGAACAAGGCAGGGTTGTCCGCTCTCACCCCTCCTATTCACCATTCACCACGGTCCCGAAGGAGCAGCCAGGCCAATTAGGCAAGAAAAGGACATAAAAGACACCCACACTGGGAAGCAAGAAGTGAAACCATCTCTGTTTGTAGATTCTGGGCCTTGAATTATAAAAAGTCCCAAGGACTCCACCAGGAAGCAGTCAGGACTAATGAGTTCTGCAAGCTTGCAGGACACCAGAGCCATAGTCAAGAGCCAGCGCGTGTGTACCCTGGCAACAGACAGCCCTCAAAAGTCGAGAGAAAAAGCCTGCTTATAATAGCTTCAAAAATTCATAAAATATCAAGGGATAAAGTTAACAAAAAAAGTGTAAAGTGTATTTTGAAACCATTGAACAACACAAACATTAAACAACAGCAATCAAGGACATTCTGAGAAGGCGTCAGCAGTGCAGCCCAGCTGCTTACAGATCCGCGCAACTCTCACCAGAATTCCAGCTGTGCAGAGCCTCGTGGGATCCAGAATAGCTAAATAATCTTGGTTCTTGAAGGCTGTGTTTGGGACAGGTGTGGATGGTTCTAGAGTCTGCTGTCATCAGGGAACACTCAGATTGGTTTTGGGCAAGTGAACTTAAATTTCAACTCTGAGAGGTTAGGTCCCTCGTGGGCCCCCACTCACCGCTCTCTAGTTTAGTTGTAAGGCAGTATCTCACTCAACTTCTCCTGAAACTTTGCCTGGTGGTTTTGAAGGCTCTGTAGGAAGAATGTCTTGAGCCCTGGGGGGTGATGCATCTCTTCCCACCTCTGCTGAGTCATCTTGAGTCCCTGAGGGGAAGAGAGGAAGGAGTGTCCCAAGAGGATCAGAAAGAAACCTGTTTCCCTAATAAACAATTGCTGCATTCTTTTGGATCCACGGGAAATTTAGCCACATTTCTTTTGGTTTTTCGAGACAGGGTTTCTCTGTAGCTTTGGAGACTGTCCTGGAACTCGCTCTATAAACCAGGCTGGTCTCGAACTCACAGACATCCGCCTGCCTCTGCCTCCTGAGTGCTGGGATTAAAGGCATGTACCACCACCACCCGGCTTTAGCCACATTTCTTAAAGGCTCCCTCTTCCCTGTGCACACACCAACACATATCCATGTACATGAATATCTGTACACAGAAGTATCACCTGTGCATAGCATATACTATACCATTTTGCCAGGGGTTCTATTGCTGTGAAGAGACACCATTACCACAGCAATTCTTGTAGAGGAAAACCTTTCCTTGGAGCTGGCTTACAGTTTCAGAGGTTTAGTCCGTTATCATGGTGAGGAGCACGGTGGTGTGCAAGCAGACATGGTGCTAGAGAAGGAGCTGAGAGTCCTACATCGTGCCAACACCAGGAAGTGGTCTGTAACACTGGGAGTAGCTTGAGCATAGGAGACCTCAAAGTGATACCACCCCACAGTGATACTCTTCCTCACAAGGCCACACCTACTCTAACAAGGCCACACCTCCTAATAGTGCTACTCCCTTTGGGGGTCATTTTCTTTCCGACCACAACACACACACACACACACACACACACACACACACACACACACACACATATATATATATATATATATATATATATATATTCATGAACGTACCCAGACATGTACACATGCAATCCACATACACAGAACCACACATGTCTCTCTGTACATTTCTGTTTAAATGGAACCCAGGCACACAGAGCCATATGTATCTCTCTGCACACTGTCATTTACTTGTAGTTCATGCACAGAGAGCAACATGTGTCTCTGGATACTGCCACTTACATACAATCCAATGTATGCATATCCATGCCTGTGTCTGTGTCTCCGCACAGCCGTGGGAGTCCACATATGGGCTCACGTCCTTGTATGTCCACTTGCAGGCCTTTTCCTGTGATAAGCTGCACCCTTAGCACTCTTGCTTGTGTCCTCTGATCATTCTCTTTCCTGAGAAGCTTGTGACACCTGTCTGCCATGCAACGAAGAGGAGATATTCAGATGTTCCCATTACCCCATCATCCCAATATGTGCTATAGATGCTTTAAATATGTTTCATTTTAAAATATTTTATTATTTTAAAAATTGTGTGTGTGCAGTGCCTGTGGAGGCCAGAAGAGGGCGTCAGACTCACTGGAATGGGAGTTACAGGCAGTCCTGAGCTGCCTGATGAGGGTACTGTAAAATGAACTTGGGTCCTCTATAAGAGCATTGTGTGCTCTGAACCACCAATTCATCTGGTTTTGGCCTCCTAGAATGGCTGCATGGTGGCATGTGTTGGTGACAATGACTGGGAGCCTCCTCCTTACCCTGACTTGGTAGACACAGGCATCTTTGGATACCCATGTATCTGGGGGAGTGTGATGATCTCAACGGCTTCTGCTGAGATCTCTGGACAGATGGCCATGTGTCTTTGCGATGGTTGATCAGGGGAAAGGACTACCTAAAGGGCTGAACAGCTCTGGAAGCCTGGTCCTGTCGTGTGTCCCCTTCCACCCCTCTCCAACCCCTTTTGCTTCTGTCCATCATCCTGATTACCCTGGCTGCCTGCCTCAAGAAGGCTCAGTGGAGACCCCACTGGACACAGCTTTCCTGTGTGTTCCTAGACACCCTCAGCCTGTGGGTGGCACTGGGCACTGCTTGGCCTTTAATCCGGAGCCAAAAGTGTATCACTGGTATGTCACTAGTGAAGAATCTGGATTGAGGACTGGGAGATTCTCCTTCCCACCTGCAGTCTCCCGTGCTCTACCAGGGCCTGGGTGATGATGATGGGGGTGGGGTGGGGTGGGGGTTGACTTGGCCTCTTGCCTGGTAGGGGAAGGGTTACAGGACTGAGTGGAGACAGAAGGAGGGTTCTAGGCCGGTGGTTAAAAATTACATGGGATGTTGCAACGTGTCCTCTTTTGCCTTGGATGTTGGTGTTTGGTTTGGGGGTATATGTGTGTGTGTGGGTGCTGTGCAGGCTTTTCAGTGACTGAGCTACCAGGGAGGGAAGAGCCTGGAGCCTTGTTGTGCAGCCCTGGTCACCTGGCCTCTCATTGTCTAGCTGCCACCCCCACCACACCGCTGCTGCCACTGCCTCCTCCTCCTCCTCTTTTTCTCCTTCCCCTTCTCCTTCTCCTCCCCCTCTTCCTCTTTCCTCTCCCCTCCTCCCTTCTTCCTTTTCTCTCTCCCTTCTTCCTTCTTTCCTGAGACAGGGTTTCTCTGTATAGTCTTGGCTGTCCTGGAACTTGGGCTATAGACCAGGCTGGCCTTGAACTCACAGAGATCCTCCAGCTTCTGCCACCGGAGTGCTTGGATTAAAGAAGTGCACCCACCACCACCGTCCAGCTAACCACCTCTTCTTACTCTCTGGCAAAGTTCCAGGGGACTCTAACGGCCAGTCAGGGACCAGAAAAGGCACTGCCTGACTGGTGTGGAGCCTGGTCTGTGAAGCCCGTGGAGCTTCTGCAGCTTGTCTGTGAGCCCTTTCCGAGTGGAGGAGCCTTAAAGGGGCATCACCAGAGCGTCCATGCTTTATCCTTGTGTTGGAAAACTTTGCCATGAGTGCAGTGACCGGGAGAGAGTTTATGGCTGTGCTCAGATGGTGGGGTTGTTTCTGGCACAGAGAAGAGTGGAGATGAATTGTCTCCTGATGGAATGACAGTGTCCCCTCAGAGGCTTGGGGACACTTGCCAGGTCTGACTGAGTCAGTGAGTGGGACCAGGACACTGTTCCAGTGCTGACTGACCTTCTCAGGCCCCCATGTGGCCTCTGTTTCCGAAGGAAGGAGTCCACAGAAGACCTGAATCTTACCAGAGTGGTCTAGTTCACACGGGCTGGTGGACATGGGGGAGAGCCACGAGGAATGCAGGCAGTGGCCGCTTCCTGGCTCCTCCACCACTGTTCTTCCCTACTCAGCTTTGGGACAGGCAGTGGCTAGCCCTGAGAGGCCCGTGGAGATGTGTGGACTCCAGAGATTACTATGGGCTGTCTTAGGGTGGCTTCGGCACAAGATATGACCCACCTGGCAGTGATGGACATGCTTCTGACCCTTGAACTCCCAGCTGTCTCCCAGAGCCACCCTGAGGCTCACAGCCTCTTCTGTCTTAACGGCTCACTCTGCTGAGAGCCAGTTCCTGCTCAAATGTGGGTGTCTTGGAGTTTTTAATGAAAATAAAAGACTGCATTATTCAGGAATCCAAACCAGACCAGACGGGCCAACAAGACAGAACAAACCCTTGCTTGGGGCAGGGGTGCGTCTTGCTGCTGCAGTGAGAGGGTGGAACCTTCTGGAAGGGACTGAGTGCTGGGAGGAATGATGCACACAGAGCTAATGACTCCTTTCAGATGGGTGCTTGTCCCCCTTGTCCCCATGGTGATGGGAGGAGGGTGTGGCCCCCAAGGCAAAGTGACCCTGTCCTAGTGAAGATTTGGTGTTTGCTGGGAGTGTAGGGGTTGTGTTTAGCTGAGCTATAGGAATGCGCCATGGCACACAGGAGGACCAGGGGGGTTTGCAAGTAGGAAGTAGCAGAGTAGCAGGGACAGTCTGGGCTCCTGGCATTGGCGGGGGAATTTGCCGGATTGAAACACAGCTGAAATGGTACCTTTAGGTTCCCGATTTGGTAGCTCTCGAGTGCCCAAGAACCCTCGAGTCCCTGTCATTCCAGAGCTGGCACTGATGGTGCAGAGGGAGTGGCTTCTTGCATGGCAAGAACTTGCTGTGGCACACCCAAGGACCTTGGCAGGCAAGGGTGAGGGACCGCTCCTATCTTGGTACCTTGATTCTGAAACTGAGATAAACTCATTTGTCCTCCCAAGTGCTTCTAGGTTCGCTAGAGGTGACTGTTCCCCAGAGTTTTGCTACTGTCCCCTTTGACCAACTCTTGAGCCCTGTTGGCAGGAGGAGTCACTTGTGACTATAGTGGCCAAGAGAGGACTAGCATTGACTGTGGGCTGTTGTAGGGAAGCTTGCACCAGTCCTGGAGGCCACGTAGGCCCTCTGTCTCAGGAAGTCCTCTGCGCTATGTTCGCTGCTCGGTTGCCTCATAAGCGAGCTGGATAGAACACGGCTCTCTAGAGGTCAGCACACGTGTGGTCCCGTGGAATGGCTTGTTTTCCAGGTTCCACACTATAGTAGCTCTGCGAAGAGGAGCCTCAGCTATGGCTTCCGGGATGGTTAGACTTGACAGACTACCTGGGCTATGTCAAACAAGTCAGGCACGGGTGCCTAGGGGTAGAAGTGACGTGTTTCCTCACAAGGTGATGGGCAACAGCAGGAAAGCCAGCCCAAGGGCAGACTCAGGCGTGGTCCAAGAAGGCCTCAGGCTTTTCCTTAAGTCACGGGTTGCCAGTGGACGTGGGCTTCTAGGAAAGTTGTTCTCACAGTTTCCGGAAAGAAGAAAGGGAGCTGCAGGCCGAGGGTTGGGAATCTGGACTGTGCGGGAGGCCTGCTTCTGAGGCTTTGCTTTCCTGGGGGACACTGTGTGTTGATCCCCAGGTTTCTGATCAATTCTTCCTGTTCTCTAGGAGCTGGAGTGGGGGCTGATAGGCAGTACTCTCAGTGGCTGCCGGGGGGGGGGGCAGTGTGACTGAGCTTGTGATGAGTTAGTTCCTCAAGAACTCAGATGTTTGCTCCAGGGTCACAGCCCCCCTCCCCAGCCCCCATGTTCAGCCCTCAACCTGCACCTGCCAGGGAATGAACCTGAGTCAGATGGGCAGGGACTCTAGCCTAGGCCTCTCTCCTCCTCACCAGGTTCTTAACCTTAGACAGTGCCCCCTCTACCTTTCCTTTGGGTGTAGGGATCTCTTTCTCTTTAGCTTGGGTTCTCTCCCTGGCCTTGTGGCTGCTATCATCTGGGCCAGGCAGCCTCCATGTCTCTCACAGATCCTGCATCCTACATAACACTATTCGGTCCCTCTCCAAAGGGCCTGAGGTCTCTCTTGACCAGGCAGTGGCAGGGAAGTAGGTTAGTGCTGCTCCCAGCTCCTCAGTTTCTGTCCTCTCTCCCAAAAGGGTGATATGGCATTTGAAACCCTGACCTGGTCTCCTGTGGGCACACAGAGTGATACCAGATGGGACCCTTTACAAAGGACTGGGTGGGGCTGGGTGTGACAGAGACGACAGCCTCTGGTAGGCTCGGACCTTGGCTCCCTGAATACACATGCGTTTTTATGAGCATTTGTGTATGTGTGACTGTGTGAGCATGAGCATGTGTGTTTGAGTGTATTGAATAGGCATGTACGTGTGTGTGTGTGTGTGTGTGTGTGTAAGTACACCTGTGTGGGAATGTGTGTCCGTGAGTGTGTGCACATGTGCATATGTATGGATTGCACAAGACTCCTGATGGAAGCCAAAGCTTGGGCCTGAGCTATGGATCCATCCATGGTGCTCGTGAGGGAATTGCTGAATATTTTGTTTCTGAAATGAGCGGCAAGGTCAGGGAATGCTAAGCATGAGTGAGTGCTGGGCACAGTGGCCACTCAGGGCCAGAGGGCCTCTGCCCTCCTACACACGTCCTTTGAAATAGGAGCTGCTGCCATTTCATTGCTTCCACCCCTGGCTCCTGGCTTCGCCCAGGAATTTCTTGCTGAGTCCCTGGGTGCACAGCCAGCCTGCCAGGCAAGAGGTTCGAGGAATAACCATTTGAGTGAGACAGGGGACGAGGACATGGCTTGAGTCTTCCCTGCCCTGGGGCTGAGTCCCCTCTCCCCGCACATGCAGGGGAAGGGTTCTGGACTCTGTCCTGGGATTTTCCAGCGACACTTGGAGGCATGAAATCACATTAGGGAATTTTCAAGCAGACTGTTCACTGGGCACGTCTACGACAGATGTGAGCGTCGTGGGGGATTAACTTGGAGACGTAGAACGCAGGGGCACAGATGTGTGCACATGACTGCCCGGCTGCTAGAGAGGGACTTGGTCTCCAGCTGTTTGCAGCTGGATTCTGATCCAAACAACACAGCCCTGCCCTTTAGACAGCCATTGATTGATGACTCCCCACACTTGATGTGAGGACAGTTGGGGACATGCCTTGGGGCTGTTTCATCACAGGGCATCATTGCCACTGCACTCAACCTTGGGGGAGGGTGGCAGTAACTGGAGACAGCATAGAGACAGTAGGGCCAGGAAGGGCCCGCTGGCTGAGGCTAGAGAAGCCACATAGTGTAGACCCTGTGGTCAAGCTATGGCATGTCATTACACGAGAGTGGATGTGTGTGGTTTTGTTCATGTCCAGGCTGCCAGGTGCCATTTCTTCACTCTTAAAGTTCTGGGCTCTTGAGCCAGGCCCATGGCCTCTGTGTTTCTATTTCTTCACTCCGCTGAATGGGCTCTTACAGGGCACTTGGCATGTGTCTGGCTGGTGTGGGGATTTTGCTGAGGCCATGCTTGTACTCCCTTCTCTAGGATTGCTAGCTTCGTGGAGAACGAATGGGAAGACATTTCTGTCCATCTAGATTCTTTCGTTACTGGGGAAACTGAGGAAGGAAGCCACAGAATCTATCGAGTGACAGCTGGAAGCAGCGCTGGAGTGGGGTCCGGTCCCACTTTGAATTATTGCTGGGAACCCCAGGCCGAGGGCAGGGAAAGGATGAATGAGGTGAAGCCAGTGCTGGGGAGAGAGTGGCTGAGCTCTGTCCCCTCTGGTGAGCCCTTCTGAATGGGACTAAGGGTGGCCATCCTTGGCACCGGCTACTTTCCAGTGTTCATCTCAGGGTGATCCTCGCCACCTTCCTGCCTGCTGGCTGTTGGGCACCTGTTTTTATGGTGATGTTTTGGCCTCTCATTCTCAGGTATCTGCCTGGACCGAGTTCCTGCCCCTCCTCTTCTGTAGCTAACCTGTTCCTTTTGGTCCAGTTCCTTCCCATCTACTGAGGGGACTTCCCTGAGGGCTACTTCCTGCCTCCAGGCTCCTCCTGGTCCTGAGACTGCCCTCCACCCTCCCTTAGGGCACAGGCTCCAGGCACCACGCCCTCCTCCACCCTCCCTTAGGGCACAGGCTCCAGGCACCATGCCCTCCCTTGGAGTCACTCATTTAGCATCCTGCTGGGACACTGAGGGCCTGGAGGAAGCCTGAGCAGCTGTCCCTGCTGTCCCAGGATAGCTGGGATCCATACTGGCTTGGACTTGGTGCAGAGCTGGGAAGGAGAAATATTCTCGCATAAATGCAGACCTTTCCTGGGTTGGGGGTCCTAGGTGCTGCTCTGGTTGGAAGGGTCCAGACAGATATGGGGTACCTACGACATCCTAGAGAAGCCAAGCCCATCCCATCAGACCCAACATCCACAGAAATGAAGCCAATGAGACAGAATGCCCCGCAAGCCCTCACATTCCATGGTCCTGCTTCCAGGACCCCGCAGGGCACAGCTCTCTGCCTCGCTCCCATCACGACTGAAATGGGTGAAACATGTACCCCAGCTGCACCCAAGATGGGTAAATGCAGTAGAGTAAGGAGCATGGGCGCCGTGAGTGGTCCTGGTCCCGTCCCACTTCTTATGGGACCAGAGCAAACTGCGGGATTGACAAGCCGCCTCCAGCTCCTGGTTTATTCAGCACACAAAGCACAGAACTGCGGACTGACCTGGAGAAGTGTGCGCCTGAGCTATGCTGGAGCAACCTCAGTGTCCTGACTCCGCCTCTCCCGGAACATAGCCTGAGGGGATGCCTGATAATGGTGGCGCCCCAAGGCACAACAAGAACTTGGCCCCTAGCTCTGTTTTAGCCCCTGGACTCCACTGAGGCTGTGGGCAGGACTCTCTCCTTAGCCTCACTTTGAAGGACTTGGGGTGATTAGAATGTCCCCACAGGCCACTAAGCAATGCCATGCCCTCTACACAGAGCTGGACTCCGTAGGACAGGAGGCAGAAGCCCACCATTGACATCATAGCCTTTGGATGAACCTCATACATTTTCCTTTACCTTCTTCCTGAGCCTTAACTGCTGCTCCAGTCGGTCAATTGGAAGAAACTCCCAAGAGAAGGGTTAGTTTTGAAACACTTGCAAGGACCTAGAGACACCAATGAAAACAGGGCAGGTCAAGTGAGAGAATTTAAGACTAGAGAAAGAAGTAATATGCCCATCAAGGCCCCAGTGGGGACTCTTGGCATCCAAGGAACAGGAATTGATGGCTAAATTGATGGATTTAGGGTTTGAGCAGGTTAACTGGGGGGCTGGGGGTAAGGAGGGGGTGAGGGAAGGAACAGACACCCACCCTGTCTCTGAAGCAACAGCTGTAACAGCAAGCTGAGCATTCTTCCAACTCCATTTCATCACAGAATGGTGGCCAGCAGCCAAGACTTCCGGGTGTTCTCCAATGCAGGCAGTAGGAGCTGGGGCGCGGCCTCTGTGTCCCCAAGGACCCTGGCCAGGCCCCCCACACCCCCACACACTCTCAGCAGAAAACTCAGCCGCTCTAAGTGGTATAAACTGGAGTTCCACCGGGTATCCCTTGACTGCCTTTCAGCTCTGTGGCTGCTCCTGGAGGTGCAGAAAGGAAGGAGTTAAATGGAATCTGAAGGTACCAGTTGGTGGGTCACCTTGATTCTCAGGCTGGGTTCCTTCCCTTCTGCCAGAGGGAAGTGGCAGAGGAGTGAGACTGGGAAGCATGCGTGGGGGAGGGTGGGGACCTGGCAGGCCCCACCTCCAGGACCACAGGAGCCGCCCCAGCTCAGAGGCTTGTACTGCTCTGATGGCTCCCGACCCCAGCAGACGCCTCTGGCTGCTGCTGTTGCTGCTCTCCTGCTGCCCTGAGCCTGCCAGGCCTGACAACAATCCCCTGAATCCCTTGAATTCCCTCAGGCCTCTGGTGTGGCTGTGGCCCACCAAGACCGACGATCCGGTCTCCAAGCCCCAGATCAGTTCACCTGTGCAGTCCACAGGGAGCCCCACCACGCACGTGGTCCCCCAGGATGGCCTTACAGATCAGCAGACGACTCCTGCCGACCCCAGGCTACCCCTGGAGGATCGGGAAGCTGGCCAGAATGGGACCCCTACAGCTCCTGCCCTCCCCATTCCCCCGACGGCCTCTGCCGCAGGCCCAGACATGAAGGAGGAGAATGTTGCCGGCGTTGGAGCCAAGATTCTGAATGTGGCCCAGGGCATCCGGAGCTTCGTTCAGCTGTGGGATAAGGACACGGCTACTGAGAACTCTGCTGGGACAGAAACCTCGGCTTCCACGATCCCTACGGTCCTCCTCACTCCTACCGAGTTCTCCAGCACCCCCCAGGAGGGTGAGACCACTCTCTGGCAAAGCGGAGGCGTTCCAAGTTCTCCAGATGTTCAGACAACCAAGGTCGGCACCCTGGCTGTGCCCACCCAGCCACCTCCCTCCCTGAACAGCCTCCAGGCGCCACTGAGAAGACCCCCAGGGCCATCAGCACCCCCAGGTAGAGCTTTTCTCTCTCCTACACGAATCAGGGCTCCTCCCTGGGGGAGCCAGAAGCCCCCAAGGCAGCCCCAGCATCTGGAGGGGAACAGACTCTTGCCTGTGGCATCCAGGCCCAGCCAGCAGCACCGGCACTCTGATGTCCACTCTGACATCCACGGGCACATACCTCTTCTGCTTCCCCTGGTGACGGGTCCCCTGGTGACGGCTTCTCTGAGTGTGCACAGTTTACTTTCTGTCCCTTCCTCTGACCCCTCAGCCCAGCTCTCTCCAGTAGCAGCTTTACCTGGGCTCCCTGGTGCTTGGGTTTCCCACGTGGCTACCTCTTCAGGTTCTGAGCTTTCCAATGACTCTGCAGTGCTGGGAACTGGCTCTCTGACCTCTACCAGCCGATGCCTGCCTCTGCCACCCACTTTGACCATCTGCAGCCACTTAGGTATTGGACACTTCTGGCTGCCTAATCATCTAGACCACAAAAACAGTGAGGAGGTGGAGGCCACTGCACAGGCATGGGGGCACCTCCTCCAGACAAACTGCCATCCCTTCCTTGCCTGGTTCTTCTGTCTGCTGCTGGCTCCCTCGTGTGGCCCAGGCCCACCACCTGCCCTGCCACCTTGCCGTCAGTTCTGTGAGGTCCTGGAGGATGGATGCTGGAAGCACCTAGATGAGGGCAGGCTGCCTGTCAAATGTGCCTCGCTCCCTTCTCAGGAGGATGGGTACTGTGTGTTCATTGGGCCAGCTGCAGGTAACCAAGTGGCCACCGTCCTCCCCTTTCCTTTTGGCTTTGTCAAGAGAGCTCAGCCAGGGCTGATGAAAAGCTTGACATAGGATCCCCACCCTGCCTCACCGAGCCTGGTGATGGCACTGGAGAGGTGCTGGAGTATGGGGTTCTGTGAAGGGGAGGAGCCTGGGGTCTGGGGGTGGCTATGACCACAGGTTCTATGTCTGCAGCAAGTGTGACAGACAGGTCATCACCTGAGACAGAGAGACAGTCCTCGCAGAGTTAGCCAGGTGCTGCCTCGGTCACAGGCTGGAAATGGAGAACCCAAGCATAGTGTGGTGGAGGAGCTTTGACTCCTACTGAATTCCAGCTGCTCCGTCCTTGTTCCTAGCCTCTGAGTCACGCTGTCTGAAGCTCTCCCTGTAGCCCCAGCCAGCCTAGGCAAAGGGCTGAAAAATGCTAGCCACACAAGGAGGACCATAGGCCTTGGCCTCCTATACAATCCACGTGCTTCTGCCAAGCCAAGATCTGAAGCTCTGCAATACAATGCTATGTGATGGGTAGGAAAGAGGAGGGGGCCATTCTTCAGATAGTCCCAGGATCAAGGCAGGGCAGGGACAGTTGGACCAGGTCCCAGGTAGCTTCCTTTTGTGTCTGGTCAGGGACCAGGCCTCTAGATAGTGCTCCCAAGCTGTGCTCCTGACTCTCCAGCTACTGTTTGCATTGGGAGGCCTTGGCCAGCTTGCAGGGCATGACATCTGTCCTCTGCGGGAGGGGAAGCGGCCTTGCCCTCTAGCCAATGTGCTCAGGAGCTGGGAGGCTATGCTGGGCTCAAAGGGGTGTCTGCTGTCAGTTTGTAGGCATGCAGCCACGAGGGTTCCCTGGGACTCTGCTGGGAATCATCTTGTTGGATGCCAGCAGGATGAACTTGGATGGTTCCTGACAAGTTGCTGGCTCAGAGCCTGGTATAGCAAGTAAGGGGCTACAGGTAGGGCAAGGTCAAGCCCTAGATAGATAGTACTCATTCCCAGGAAAGAGGCACACGAGGAACTGCAGTGGAGGAACAGGTGTGGGGGGGACTTATTGTGACACAGCTGGGTAAAATCTGAGCCTATAGCCCTGGGGTCGCTTCCCAGAGGATGAACAGGACTCTGGCTGAGAAGATGCATTCAGAGGGTGAATGACAGGCTACAGGCAGAGGAGCTGGATGTGTGGTCTTGCTCCAGGAAAGACCTGGGCTGTGCAGAAGCCCAGGGGATGCTCAAGGCTTCATTAGGGGCCACAGCTGGACCTGAGAGGGTGGGGCTGGTGTCACAATGAATCCCACACACATTCCATCCTTGAAATAGCTGAACGTGGACTGGCTCGGGCCACCTCCCGGCGGAGGCCTGCACCTGGCCACAGCTGGCAGAGCCCATCCTGCACGGTCAGCTCCACGGGGATGTGTCTTGACAGGAGAACAACCTACCTCATCTTCTGTTGGGGCCACGCAAGATGATGGGGAATCATGTGGGCTGCTAGCCAGGGTTAGGAGGGCCTGGCCATGTGTCTGCTTCAGGGGCAGCCAGAGGCTATAAAGGCATAGGTCCTGTTAGGTGCTGGAAGGAAGGCCACACCTCCTTTGGGTGAGGGCTCAGCCACATCAGGTGCAGGGCCAGAGCTGGCACATGAGGTCCTTACAGTGGAGCGTCATGGGACACTGATGTCTTTAACTGCGGCTGCCTGGTCAGCCAGGGGCTAAACATCTGGACATTTTGGGCTGCATCCCTAGCAAGGTCCTGGGGACTGGTCCATCAGCACTCATGCTCCCCATCCCTGTAGGCCACATCTGGGTGCCAAGCCTCATTGAGCAAAGGCCCCTTTCCAGGCAAGGTGGGTGGGGGAGACGTCCATGGAAACTCAGGGTTCAGAGTAGGAGAGTCCTTACCTCCTCTGGCCTATTAGCCTCTCTTTCCCGGGCTCCTTCACTCCAGAGGAGCCCCACTCCTGCCGGGCCTCTGTGGCAGGCTGATCACTCCTACCCCAGCATGGAAAAGGACACCAGAAAGAAAGATGAGGACGAAGATTTCACCCCTCCCCTATGGTGTTTCTCTAACCCCTTAGTGGCAGCTGTGAGCTTGTAGAGTGGGAGGTGCTGGGGCAGGGACAGTCCTTGACTACACCAGGGGGCACGGGGATTGGGAATAATGAGTTCCTGCCAGGGAGCATGCACTTCCTCCTCAGGGTTTGACCAGATCCATGGTGGGGCTTTCCCACTATAATGTGGGCCCTGCCCCATTCCCCTCACCCAGGCCAGTGGGTATAGCCTGACCCTCTGCTCACTCTAAGCCCCTGGCCTTGCACACCTGGCCTTGTACTCACACTTCAGCACCCCCCTGTGCCTGGACTTACACACCTGACGTCAGTTAACTTGAGTTTCTGTTTAACTTTGATCTGAAGAGACAAGGTGTATTATGGAAAAATACCTAACTACCTACCTATATACGCCTGGTGCAACAGGCCTAGCCGTCTGCGTCTACACACCTCGCCTTGCACACCTGGCTCTGTCTAGCATCCTGGGGCCTCTGTGCTCGCTTGTCTAGCCAAGCTTGTAGCTCCACACCCACGTCTTTTCCTCTGACCCCCGAAGGAGACCAGGAGGGTATCAGCGGAAACATGACAGCATTCAGCTGGTATGTGAGGTGATAGCTGGGAGTTAGGGTCACCCCACGGGAGCTCTTCCACATGGCTAGATCTGCTGGTCAGCATGCAGCTGGGTCTCTGGGAAGGGTCCTAGGTATATCAGCTTGTCCTTTGGGTGTATACAGGGAGAGAATGAGGGATGTGCAGGAGTATAGTACCCAGGGTCCTCGCCCCTGCTTCCACTAGTACTGACCTCCAGCCGCCTATGAATAGGGCTACTGTTGGGTCCGCTGCCACCTCCAGGAAACCCTTTGACTGAGTGGGGTCTGGGAATGATGCAGAACTTGAGTCAGGGGCTACATGGAACCAGGCATTTGACCTCATTCTCACCCCTCCGTGTCTACCCTATGAATGACAACAGAGACAGGTATAATTTCCCAGGGAGCCTGAAAAGCTCTTGGGAGAAAGCAAGGTCTGGGGGTGGGGGTTCAAATCCTGCACTTGCAACAGGCTTGCAGACATACTAGGTGCAACTAAGAATCACCCAGTGTGACTGAACCTCTGGTCTTCGTGGACCATGCTGGCGGGTCGTGGAGCATTTGGAAAGTGGTGGGAGTATGCTGTGGGGGCTATGTGGGGTTCATCACTCTGGAAGTTCGCAGATGCCCCAGGTGCTCCTTCCACCCAGGACCCTACGGGCTCCCAGCTATTCTCACCTAGACTTTTATCTGGCTCCTTAATCAAATGTGAGTCTTCGAAAGGCTGCTGGTCTTTAGGACGCTTCAGTTAACTCGGGTTTCTGTTTAACTTTGATCCAAGGAGACAAGACCCCTCCGTGGAAAAATACCTGAATGCTTATCTCTCACTCCTAGCAACCTGCAGATAAATACTCTGTGTATGGTGCTTCCTCCCAGATCCTTGTGCAGCTTGGGGCTCTCCAGGCTTAGGGCCTAGGTGAGCTGCAGCCATAGAAGGGCAGGAACCTGGAGAACCTCCTGGACCTGATAAACATCCAAGGATTAAAGTGTGCAGTGCAAGGGCTTCATATGCAGATATGAAACAGTGACCACCGAGTTATTTGGCATATCCATCATCTTCCAGGGTTACATTTAAAATCCGTTCTCTCTGAGCAGGTGTGTGTGTGTGTGTGTGTGTGTGTGTGTGTGTGTGTGTGTGTGTTACTGGGGATTGAACCTAGGGCCTCCCACATGTCAGGCAGGGTCTCTGAACCACACACCAGCCCTCTCTAAGTCTTTGCACATGGTATATACCGCCCTCTGTAGTCACCCATTGCACACCAGGTCTGCAGAACTTGCCCAACTGCCAGACTGGAGCTCCTTTGCCTTGGACTAATGTCTCCCTGTTTCTACACCTCCACCAGCCGGAAAGCCACACTTGGGTTCAACGTCTTTAGGTGGTGAGAGTCCACCTGGAAAGTTACATGGTGTTTGTTCTGTGACCCGATTGTTTCATTTAGCACAGTGCTCACCGGGTGTCTCTGTGTTGACACAGGATGGGATTCCTTCATGTTCAGTGTTGTGTGTGAGCACAGCACCTTCTCTTTCTCATGTCCATGAACACCCCTGTGGGTTCTGTGTCATGGTTGCTGTGACTACCGAGGGCTGCAGTAAAACTGGGATATGGGTGTGTCTTCCACAGCCTGGCCTCAGTCCCTTTGGATGCTGGAGATCACAGTGGCTCTATTGTGTGTGTGTGTGTGTGTGTGTGTGTGTGTGTGTGTGTGAGCGAGCCTCTCCACGTCTCCCCTGGTGACTGACCTAGATTCCACTCCCGGCAGCAATGGAAAGGGTTCCTCCTTTCTCTCCACCACCTGTTGCTTCTTGCTAACAGTTGTGTGGTGGCATTCTGTTGTGGATTTCGTCTGTGGCTCTGGTGACCTGTGACCTGGAGCAAGTGTAGACCTCTCGGGTCTTCTTGGAGAAGTGTCTGCCTGGGTCTTTTGTTCATTTTAAAGTCCAGTCGCTTGCTTTTATATTGAGCTGTGTGAATTCCTTTCCTCCTGTGCTGTTTGGCTGACAGACTTCCAGTCTGTGGGTCATCTCTTTCTCCTGCTGTCAACATGGAGGTGTTGGCGTCTTTGTCTACAGGGCTTACCTATGGTGGCGGCTTTCTGCCACCGTGGCGTTTACCTGTTAAAAGCTTAAGGGAAGAAAGAGTTGCTTTGGCTCATGGCCCGTATGTGTCTGGCTGCATTACTTATGGTTTGTGGTGAGGCCCAATCAAGGGCATGGCAAAACAAAACTGCTCACTCTATCTAGGAACAGTAAAAGCAAGGGACCAGGGACAGAGTGGCCTTCAGAGACAGACCGCCACAAACCTTTCTTCCGGGTTCTATCTTTAACCGCCCATTCCTGGATTAACCAACCACAAGAAGTGACTCC